AGAAAGAAAGAAAGAAAGAAAGAAAGAAAGAAAGAAAGAAAGAAAGAAAGAAAGAAAGAAAGAAAGAAAGAAAGAAAGAAAGAAAGAAAGAGAAAGAAAGAGGCAAGCAGGGAGGGAGGGGGGAAGGAAGGAGGGAGGGAGGGAAGGAACTCTACAGCCACATAGCATATCCATCCATTACAGGAGCAAATAAGAAAGCCAATCGTCCAGCAGAGGGCACCAGAGCTAAATAAACACTTTAAAAGTCTTGGAATCTTAAGACTTCAGAACCCAAATATTCCATTTTCTCTTCAATGATACTATTTCCTTAAAGGTCATGGTAACAGAGTTACCCCACGTCTCTTGACCCCATATCCTGCGTTCATTCCCAGAACAAAGCTGACATGAATGATTCCTGTATGATCATTTACCAACAGAAACATGGAATCAAATTTCTTATTTTAATTAAGGAACATGGCACAATACATTTTAATTGGTAGTAGACACCATAAAAACAAGAAGGATTAAAAACACAAAGAAATATCTTCCTCTTTAAAACAGATAAATTGGACTCCTCCTGTTCATCCATGCTTTCTATGTTAGACGCTGAATCCCCTAACAGCCCTTTACAGCTCTTTATTGAGGTCTAGATATTTTGGCCCATCTTTTGGATGCAGCATTTCATGGGACACCCTGCTGGATCTCCTGTGCTGTGCTTCCTTCTGTGGCTGCAGGCGCCACGCTGGAGCAATGCGTAGGAGAAGCGGAGTATTTCCACCTGAGCCCCTCACTGCACCTCCCGTGCTCACTCTTCAACACACATTTGTTGGCAAAGGTCCAGTCCTCAAGCTTCAAGGTTCAGAAATTTTATTTTACCAAGGTTGGTCAGGAGTTAAGGGAATGGAGCCAGCTAAACCCAAGGAACAAGAGGCCCCTGTTCATTTACAATGGAAGCTGTCTTGTTGTTTTGCCATTATACCATGCACCTGTCTTGGGATCAATGTGCCTGCACACTGAATTAGGTACCAGAAAATTGTTTGGTGATCACGAAATAAAGGTAAAGGATTGAAAGGCATTTTTCTTAGGAATGCTTTTACACTGTTGGTGGGAGTGTAAATTAGTTCAACCATTGTGGAAGACAGTGTGGCGATTCCTCAAAGATCTACAACTAGAAATACCATTTGGCCCAGCCATCCCATTACTAGGTATATACTCAAAGGATTATAAATCATTCTACTATAAAGACACATGCACACGTATGTTTATTGCAGCACTGTTCACAATAACAAAGACTTGGAAGCAACCCAGTTGCCCATCAATGATAAACTGGATAAAGAAAATGTGGCACAGATTCACCATGGAATACTACGCAGCCATAAAAAAGGACAAGTTTGTGTCCTTTGCAGGGACAGGAACGCCCGGCTGAAGTGGGAATGAGGCAGAGGCTAGAAGGCACAGCAGAGTGCTGTGCAACAGATGCCACCTGGCAGACACGGTGCTCTCATCACAAGAGACTGTTATTTGGTACTGAAGTAGCCTTCACATTCCACAGAAAAATGTCTTTCTATTTTTCATACTATACTTTAAGTTCTGGGGTACAGGTGCAGAATGTGCAGGTTTGTTACATAGGTATAGATGTGCCATGGTGGTTTGCTGCACCCATCAACCCATCACCTACATTAGATATTTGTCCTAATGCACTCTGCTGTGTCTTTCAGCCTCTGCCTCATTCCCACTTCAGCCAGGTGTTCCTGCTTACATCTGTGGCAAGCCCTCAGCTAACTTCTCCTCCCAGACTGAGAATCCTCCTAAACTGCACCTCTCGCCATTTCCCTCCAGGGGACAATACACTTCTTCATCTTGTACCTGGGTGATACCAGCCTCTCAGAATTCCTAAGGATCAGAAGAGTGGGTAGGACAGGTGGATCAGGTAGATGCATGAAGAGAGGTAACGCCAGTTACTCAGACTCTGCCTGGGCTACCAGAGTCCTGAGCTTCTTGCCCCCATTCGGGAGGTGTTAGGGGTCTCACTCTGAATCATTAGTAGTTTATTCTTTAGCTTTTATTTCCATTTCTTCCAAGTGTGTGTGTGTGTGTGTGTGTGCGCGCGCGCGTTCTGCCACTAATACTACTTTTCCCTCTTAGCAATTAAAAGAAAAAAAGATACATTTGAAAAAGCGGTGTATTACCTATTCTGGTAATATGATGTCAGTATTTATGAGGTGTGGCCTTTGTGCCTCTTTTTAAAGATATAGGGAATTACTCCATGGCCAAAATTCAGTGGCTTCCCATATCACAGAGTAAAAGGCAGAGTCCCTGCCAAATGATGCCATCCACATCCCTCACCATTCACCTCCGAACTGCTGAGGTCCTTTTCACCACCCTCCCTTCCATCGCTGAGCACCTGCACGTCCCCACTGCTCCGCCCACACTCACACCTACACTGCTGCAGACCTTTGCACCTGAGCTGCCATATGGCTCTTTCCTTCCTGCTGTCATTCAAATACCACTCTCACAGGGAGGCCCATTCTCATCTCTCTACACTCAAGGGCAACTTCCCCAGCACCCCCCCCCCACCCCGCCCCCTGCCAGCCTTCCTTTTTCTCCTCTGACCTACTCTCTTCACGTCTAGCTCCCTCCCCTGAATCTAAGTTCCACCAGGGCAGAAACATTTGTGTTTTTTTTAACTACTGTATCCCCAGCATCTGCAACAGAACCTTGCACACACTGATATTTACACAGATTTGTGGATTCATGAATGAATGTGTGAGTGAATGAATGAATACATCAAATACTATACAAAGTTCATAGTAAAAAATAGCAGCCACTGGTGTCCCCACTCCTGAATCTTTTTCTCTGAAATCATTTAGCTTTTGTTTCTGGTATTAACTTGAATATCTCTAAGGAATATGCTTACACTGCTATTTCTTGGTCTATCAGCTTAAGACATTAAAGACCTAAATTCCCATTGTAGAAGATGGCATTACAGGATTCTTACACCATCTCACACCTCCGGTTGCCATTTCTCTACCTTTCCAGTGTGATTACATCACATTGTCTTGTAATTTACATATACATTACCCATATGGGGTTTATATCCCACTGCTAGAATGAAGCCTTGTCAGCAGGAATTTCTATTTGTCTTGCTCATGGAAGTATCCTCAGGGCCTACAACAGTGCCAGGCCCTCAGCAGGTACTGAGTAAATATTTGTGGAATGAATGGATGAATTCTGAGATGTATGGGCTGTAACTTATCTGCCAGTTACTCATTGCTGCACTTTCGGGATGAGTGGGCCACCCCCATGTCCCTGTGCTTTTCCAGCTAGGACTTTCCCTCAAACTCTGCACCTTCGGAAACCTTCAATGACTCCCTCTCACCCAGCTTTACTCGGGGATCCTTCCTCTCTATCCACAAATCTTTTCATGAACATTATACACAGTTCCCGATTAGTCACCTTCTCTAACTAGGCTGACGCTTCCTTGGCATCATGGACTGTGTCTTGATGATTTCTGAACACTGTTGTCTATCATGGCATCCCACCTATTGTAATTGATTCTCAAGCAGCTCTGAGTGAAGGACACACGGTCCCTGCTTACCATTTGGAGGCAAGAGAGAAATGACATCTTCCTGTTCCCGGTGAGCCCTAAGGTGAGTCACTTCACCATTTACAGAGATAACATGTGGCTCGATAGCTTCTTCTTTCACTCTTCGCTTCCCCAGGTTAATAATTGCCAGATCATTTCATACTCTTTATTTGTCCAGTCATTTCACTTCTTGCCATCCCTTTCCATGTCCAAATCTCCCTCTGAAATAAAAATAAATTTCGAATTAGAGCATCGTGACTTCTTTCAAAGTTAGAATGACTGCCTTATGAAACATGCGATTCCATGTGTGGCTCCGCATGACAAGATCAAGCATTCCAAACTAAAATGTACAACCCGTGGAAATCTCTTCCTGCTCTGTACTACTGGTACTTTACAGCGTGGTTCTCCCACTTTGCCATGCATCCGAAGCACTGGAAAGACTTGCTAAGATGGAGCCACAGACTCTGGGGCCCCACTCCCAGAGTTTCTGATCCAGAGAATCAGAGGTGGAGTCTGGGAATTTGCACTGCCACAAGCTCCCGGGTGCTGCTGATGCTGCCAGTCGGAAACCCACACTTTGAGAACCCTCACCTTCCCATAACGCTTCAAGAAGTCTTAGGCACTAAGTTGATGCACCTGCAAAGGGGTTACATTTCCCTCATCCCCTCCCACTACCGCCAAGATAAGTAGCTGCTGAGTACAGCATTACAGCACTTCTCAAACTCTAACAGGCACACAGATCACCTGTAGATCTCAATAAAACACAGATCCTTATTCAGCAGGTCCGCGGTGGGGATGGGTGGGAGGGGTTGTCAGAGATGGGGAGGGGGTGGTTCTAATCAGCCCCCAGGTGACGCCAATGTGGCTGACTCTCCGCCTAAACTCTGAGTTTTGGGGGGGGTGGTTCTAATCAGCCCCCAGGTGACGCCAATGTGGCTGACTCTCCGCCTAAACTCTGAGTTGCGGGGGGGGGGGAGTTCTAATCAGCCCCCAGGTGACGCCAACGTGGCTGACTCTCCGCCTAAACTCTGAGTTGCAGGCATTACAAATGATACGGAGTCCATTAGTATTGAAAGGAAGTGACTTTCTTAGGTCTCAAAGCTTTGAGTAGTTCATCTGATTCAGGCATTTGATTCAGGTCTGAGCTCTAAAACTACTAATACACTTTTTTTTTTTTCCTCATGACCCAACTTGAGAATATCCTTTTATTCTTCGTTTACAATTTTGACAACATAGAAACAAGTTAACATTTTTAACTTTCACCCATATAAAACTTCCAGCCTGAATGGGTCCAGCTGACTCATTGTCACTGCCCAGAGATCCCTGAGCTCTATTCAAACACTGCAGATAATTGTAAACCTGGAGACAGGGCTGGGAGGGTGGGGCTGTTTATCCTTGTTGATTGAGAAACCTACTCTTTGTCCTGTGCTGGTGTTTTGTTACATAGTTACAGCACCTAGCCTTCCATTGACATCCTGCCTCAGAGCACCATTATCTCATGCATTATTGAGCTCAATTCTCCCAAAGGCCTGTGTTATCTCTTTTTCATTTCTTGGCTATAAAGAGATTGTGGTGATGGGGAAGTGAAAGAGAAAACACCTCCCAAAACCTATCTGATCCAGCTGATCCAGGACATATCCTTTTTTTCCCTTTTTTTTTTTTTTTTTTTTTTTGAGACGGAGTCTCTCTCTGTTGCCCAGGCTGGAGTGCAGTGGCGTGATCTCGGCTCACCGCAACCTCCACCTCCCAAGTTCAAGCAATTCTCCTACTCAGCCTCCCAAGTAGCTGGGATTACAGACACATGCTACCACATTCGGCTAATTTTTGTATTTTTAGTAGAGATGGGGTTTCCCCATGTTGGCCAGGCTGATCTCGAACTCCTGACCTTGTGATCTGCCCGCCTCAGCCTCCCAAAGTGCTGGGATTACAGGCATGAGCCACCGTACCCGGCCCAGGACATATCCTTTATATCATGATGTTGTGAACACATGTATACATACATATGTGTATATATACACCCACCGCATATATATAATATATACCCACACATACATATACACACATAAAGAGAAAACACCTCCCAAAACCTACCTAATCCAGTGTGACTCTCTTACACCTGCAGGTGGATAGTAGTAAGTGAACTTTCAGGGGAGGCAGGACAAGCTACATAATTTTCAGGGCTCGGTATAAAGCAGACATGCAGGACCCAATTGTCGAGAATTTCAACACTGCAACGGCAGAGCATTAATCCAAGTGCCAGGCCCTTCCAAGCTCATGTGCTCATGAGGCTAACCCTGGGGGAAGAACTCTGACATAACAAATACCTCATGAATTTGGAAGCTCTCACTCTCTTCCCTTCCTCCCTCCTCTCTCCCTTTCAAAACATATGTCAGAAAAGAAGAGCTCCAATGAGAATGGTGATGTCATTTGTTCTGTGGTTGAATAAACACTCGTATCTCTTCTTTGTCCTGTCTTTCCTTCATTTTCTGCCAAATAGCTCAACCTTCCGACTAGGAAAAACCCAACTATATCCCACTGGTTCCAATAAGGGCTAAACTGAACTCTACCTTTGGTCCAACTATGATAAGATGGTTTACCTAATCTACGATAAGGAAATGTACTGCACAAATATGACTAGAAGGGAGGGTGTGTAGTTTCCTCAAATGAGATTTTCAAGTCATCAGACAGCCCCTCCCACAACTCTGAGGGCTCACCATGGATCTTGCTAAAATGCAAATTCCAATGTAGGAGGGGTGGAAAGGACATAGAGCATATCTGCGCTGTGAGGCTGTGAGCCAAGAACCACACTTTGAGTAGCAGAGCTCTACAACTACCCTGTCCCTTAAGGTAGACACTAACCACAGGTACCTATCGAGCCCTTGAAATGTGGCTTGTCTACATAGAGATGAAATCTGATTGTAAAATGCACATCACTTTTCAAAGATGTAATTCAAAAAATAAAATAAATATCCCATTAAGAATTGTATATTGATTCTATGTTTTAGATATATTTGGTTAAACAAAGGATGTTATTAAAATTAATTTCACCTGTTTCTACTTTTTAATTTGGCTAGTAGAAAATTTAAAATTACCTATGCGGCTCACTGTTGGACAGCATTCTTCTAGGAGGTCAGGTGGAGCTTGAGTTATCCATCCTCTCCATTTCATTATGAACTCTTTGGGGTGAAAGCATGGAACCAGCCTTGGACATCACCCAGGGAGGTGAGTTCATCTGTTATGGTCTCATCCATCAAGTTTTCTTCTCTGGCTCTCACCACCCCAATACGGATACACAGACGCAAATACACACACACACACACACACACACAGAGGAGTGGGAAAGACTGGAAGACAGGACCTTGTCTTATGTATCTTTCTGTCCTCAATGCCCAGTACAGAGTCTGTTATCTTAAGTAATCCATAAGTATCTGAGATGTGGATCCTCTATGTAAATCATTCATGATTCCTCCCACTTATACTTCTGGGTCACTGTAAATGTTTGAAAGTAGTCATGTATTTTCTCAATTATATTTTCCTCTGGGTTGTCCTTCAGCTTACCTTGTATTAGCTGCACGGGCTCAATAAGCATCCATGACACAATGCTACTAGCTCAGTGCACATTGAAGGGTGAATGTTAGTGGCCTTTTTCTTGCCACCATCACCAAGTTTACAATTACATCACTTCAACTATGATCACGGCTGCTAGTAAGAGCTACACCTCACTGGGTGCGTCCTACATACCAGGTGCTGTACCTGCACTTCAGATATGGCATTCCATGTAATCCTCATGCCACCACCATGCTGGCCATTATGACGGTCTTCCACTTTCCATAGGAGGAAAATGAGGCTCAGGGAGGCTAAGAATCTTGCCCAAGCAAGTGGCAGAGAGAGGATTCAAGTCCAGATCTCCAAAGTCTGTGTTTTCAATCCTGGGTATCTATAACATTAGCAGAGTGCTCAGAAGCATCAGTGCAGCAAAGAGGAAAAAGGGAAGTGGGGTGGTTTTGAATAGCGTGTGAATATGCACACCAAGATGAAGGCATTCTTTCATTTTTTCCCTTGATCTATTGTTAAATGTACATATATAGTATTTCCCAATAAATTAGAAAACAGAAAAAATAAGTCATCAACCTTTTTTCTCTAAATCAAGGAACATATAAATCTGACATATCCTTTATATCAGAATGTTGTGAACACATGTATACATATATATGTATATATACACTCACCACACATACACATACATAAATCGTGACTAGACGCACATGGTAGTAAAAACTGTGCTTTTAAAAAACCACTAGGTACATCTTTAATAAAGCCTCACATGATGTAGAAACAAAATGAGTTCTGCAGTAGGGAACAAAACGAATTATTGGTATAAATCAATAGTTAATAACGGTCAGTTACCAACATGGGGCATGTCAGAGTAACACATTGGGGAAATACACTTACAAGGAGAAAAACAGAAGAATAATTCAAAATAAATTACCAATAAATTGTTTTATGATAAAAGCATAAGTTTTGGAATGGTCTTTAAAAGACAGATTTAAAATGTTTGAATCAGGCTCAGGTTTGAAGCCTTTTTTTTTTTTTTTTTCTAATTGACTTTATTCTTTTCTCATTAAAAGAGCTGTTCCAGGCTGGGTGCAGTGGCTCACGCCTGTAATTCCAGCACTTTGGGAGGCCAAGGCTGGCGGATCACTTGAAGTTAGGAGTTCAAGACCAGCCTGGCCAATATGGTGAAACCCTGTCTCTACTAAAAATACAAAAATTAACAGGGCATGATGGCTCACACCTGTGATTCCAGCTACTCAGGAGGCTGAGGCACGAGAATCGCTTGAACTTGGGAGGTGGAGGTTGTAGTGAGCCTAGATCACACCACTGCCCTCCACCCTGGGCAACAAGTACGAGATTCTGTCTCAAAAAAAAAAGAGCTGTTCCATCCCAAAAAGTTTTCATGATGATAGTTTTACTTTAGGGATTATTACCTCTGTGTATGAATATCTCAGTACAATTTTAAAACACCCAAGTTTTAAAATAACACACAAACTACTGTCGCCAAACCAAACTAGGTCCGTTTGCCCTCAGGCAAGGGAACGTCAAGCACCAAAGCACTGGGTTTTGGCAGCGAGAAAGGTTTATTGTGAGTAGACTGACAAGGAAACTGAAGGAAACGCTCAAATCTGTCTCCCTGACCTTGAGGCTAGGTCAGGTTTTATAACCATAGGGTAATGAGGATGATCTGACTTGCAATGAGGTGATGCTGGGAGGCGTGATCTGACTGGACCTTGCCATGGGGTGTTCGCTTCTTAATTCAGTCCCCACTCCTTAGTCCAAGCACTTAGGTTCCTACACGCTTGGTTCACCTGGGCATGCTCAGGTTGTGTGACCTTCAACCTGGGGGGTCCATGAACTGAAAAACAACTCACAACAACTCACAATTCTGTGACATAAAAGTTGAATCAGATAAGTCTGATGACGTTATGCTACTTACTAAGTCCACGTCAATAAAACTGTAAAAAACATAATCTTTAAAATCTTTCTTGTAGTTCTACCAAAAGAGATTTCATTCACATTTCCGCATCAAAAATGTCGGTTGGATAAAATTTCTGGGATACTAAGAAACAAAATGACAAAGACAAAATGATCATAATCGTTATAACAAAGCTCAGTTTCTTTTGGGTTTTTTGTTTGTTTGTTTTTGTTTTTTCTTGAGACAGAATTTCGCTCTTGTCCAGGCTGGAGTGACCTGGCACAATCTTGGCTCACTGCAACCTCTGCCTCCCAAGTTCAAGCAATTCTCCTGCCTCAGCCTCCTGAGTAACTGGATTACAGGCATGCGCCACCACACCCAGCTAATTTTTGTATTTTTAGTAGAGACAGGGCTTCGCCATGTTGGCCAGGCTGGTCTTGAACTCCTGACCTCAAGTGATTCACCTGCCTCGGCCTCCCAAAGTGCTGGGATTTAGGCGTGAGCCACTGTGCCAGGCCCAAAGCCGTCATTTTAATACAAGATTGTGACCAGCCAGAGTAACTGGTTTCCATTTTTACTCTTCGATTAGATCATTGCACATAGAATCAAATTTGCTGTATAGTTTTTCAGTTTTAACAATACTAAGGCCCTATGTCAGTGTAATCAAGGGAAAGAATCTAAATTAGATTTTAAAAACCTGAATCCAAATTCTGGTCTAATGCCATACTTATTACGATCAATGAATATAAATGGTGGCTCCACACACACTGTAGTAAATAATGTGCTTTTAAAAAGCCACCAGATAAATCTCTAATAATGCCTCCAATGACTTAGGAACAAAATGAGTCTTGCTGTAGGGAAGAAAGTGAATTATTGGTATAGATCGAATTGCCTACAAACATTGTGTGTCAACATTAATGTCAGTTCCTTGGAACCAATAGATTGCTCCTTAATTACTCCATGCTTCCAGAACCTGTAGTCCTCCTGACAGCTCATTTCACAGAGACGCATTTATTTTGAAAAAGTATACATAGCTACCAGACCGTCCACTCTGTCAACATAAGGGTTGGCCATAAAAACCTGTTATATTTTACTCTGGGCAGCAATTATTTAATATCCCTCAACATATGTGTCAAACACATAAGAAATTGCTCCAGGCTTTTCTACCTTTTCATTGCTTAAAAAAGTAGAAAACTCCCAACAATGAGGCCTTCGTAGAACTAGAATCATCGTAGAACCTGAGGCATCAAAAATATTAGTTGCATTGTGAAAGCCAAATAGGAGCAACTCATTCTTTAAAAAGAATACAATTAATAAACCGCATCTCCACTGACACCTAGGAAGTCCCCAGGAAGGTGTAAAGCCCCGGATTTATAAGGCTAAGAAACATATTACAGGAATAAAACCCTAAACCACAAAAAGGTGTAGTGTTTGCAACGGTTGTGGTCACTAGGGAATCCTGTTTCAATGCTGATGCTTCTCTGCCTTCCCTTTTCTAAATCAGGTTAAATGGGGTTCCTCACGGTGGAGCTGTTCCTCCTGACCCTCTGACACCCCAAACTGGACTCTCCCCGGACTGGTTACCTCATCACATGCTGCTGTCCAACTATGCAATTAGCACATCACCTGGTCCCCTAAGCCTGCAGATTGACCTGATTCATGCAATTCTTTTTGTTGATTTTTTAGAGACAGGATCTTGCTCTGTTCCCCAGTCTGGAGTTCAGTGACACAGTCACCACTCACTGCAGTCTCGACCTTCTGGGCTCAAGCAATCCTCCCACTTCAGCCTCCTAAGTAGCTGGAACTACAAGCACCTGCCACCACACCCTGTTTTTTGTTTTGTTTTGTTTGTTTTGTTTTTTGGTTTTTTTTAATGTTTTGTAGAGAAGGAGTCTCACTATGTTTCCAGTGCTGGTCTTGAAATGGATTTAAGCGATCCTCCCACCTCGGCTTACAGGCATGAGCCACTGCACCCTGCCTGCAGTTATTTATTTTCACAGTTCCCTGGGGGCTGGCAGAAGAAATACTACCAAGGGCCCATATGAAAGGAGCAAGCAAGAATCCCTGGGAAGTGCTGGGAAAAATCAGGAGGAAGTGAGACTGAAAGCCGAAGAAACCAGGGAAGGCTTCCTAGAGGGGTGGCTTTCAGGGCAAGATGTTTTCTCACTGTTCTGCTCCCACATCCCACACCCCCTCATCTTCCTTACCACCCGTGTTAAAATGTGAGCAGTCTTTCTTTGGAGTTCTCTGACTCTTTCAGAGTTAAGACACGAAGAGATGGAACAAATGGGACCTTTTTAGCCTCCTTTCCTCTCTTCTCTACTCACCGGTTCCTTTCCAGCCCACCTCTGCTCATTTCCCTGCCTCAGGACCCTGTCACATGCTGGCGCTTCCCCATCCAAGCCCAGATCACACCTCCAGGAAAGGTCTGCGGCTGAGTAAGTGCCCTGCTCTTCCCCACCTGCGCTAGGACTGCAGATCCTAGAGAGACGCTGCACATCTTGCTCTGAAAGCCACCCGTCTAGGAAACCTTCCTGGCTTCTTCAGCTTTCAGCCTCACCTCCTCCTGGCTTTTCACAGCACTTTCTGGGGACTCTTGCTTCCTCCTTTCATACATGCCCTTGTGAGCATTTCCTCTGCCAGACCACAGGCTCCTCCAGAGCAGTGTCTGACCACCCAGGAGGAACTCAGCAAATCGTAAATAGTTTAATTTGTCCAGATACGTTTCTGTTTTAAAAAAACAGTTGTCAAAACTTCATCTTTTGCCAACTGCCTGACTCAGAAGACGTTGATGTTCATTTGTTTGTTTGTTTGTGTGTGTGTGTGTGTTTGTTTGGAGACAGTGTCTTGCTCTGTTGCCCCAGGCTGGAGTGCAGTGGTGTGATCACAGCTCACTGCAGCCTCAATTTCCCAGGTTCGAGGGATCCTCTCACCTCAGCCTCCCGAGTAGCTGGGGACTGCAGACGTGCACCACCATGCCTGGCAAAATTTTGGATATTTTGTAAAGATGGGGTTTCACCATGTTGCCCAGGTTTTGAACTCCTGAGCTCAAGCAATCAGCTCGCTTCGGCCTCCCAAAGTGCTGGGATTACAGGTGTGAGCCACCGCGCCCGGCCCAGAAGATGTTGATCTTTACAGGCAGCTTTCCTGAAACCTATTTATTAATACAACTCTTCCTTGCAAAATTAAGTGTTGGGAAAAGCGTTCTTTCCCTCTCTCTTTCCATCCCTCCTTGATTTCAAGCTCCATCCTGTACACTGCAACAAATTTTCAACATGGAGCTTCTCTTTTAACCAGGCTGATGCCTTGTATGGTTTGTTTTTCCCTTTTTACTTAAGTGTGTGCACATAAAAAAGCAATGAAATACCCCACTGAGCAGAAACATAAACACATCTGCTGTTTGTGTTCTGAAAAACTAATTAATAATATATCTCTTCATCTAGTCTGATGCATCCATATACATCCTGCCTTGCTCTAGGAGCATTCTGGAGCCGATGATCGCTGCCATATCTTAGAGCACCTATTTCAATTTTGCATGATTAGTAGCAAGGGAAGGACCACATTGAAAGAGGAGGTCTCTAGCCCCAGGTAGACACAAAAATGTGTTGAGTATAGACCTTCTATTCACCTTTCAAGCAGTAATTTCATTGATGAGAGTTTTCTTTATACATCAGGGTGTTGCTGGCAGGACAGTTTTCCTGGGTCATGCAAAAGGACTAAAAATCAATTTGCAAAGCAAATATTATGTAGCTTAATCTCAACTTTCTATATTTGTACTGTTGCTATAGGCAAGTCATTAACCTGGGTATGCCTCAGCTTTTTCATTTGTAAAGTGAGGATGGCCTACATGATTTTCAAGGGCTCTTTCAGATATGATAGCCTATATGGTTCTTTGTATTTAGAAACAAGCCTCATGAGAAATAAAAACACATGGTGAGTGATTTGTCACTTGCTTACTTGTTTTCAAAAATAGTAAGTTTGGGTTGTTCAGATAACATAAAAGCATAACAGAAAATTAAATCACTGATGATTTCTCCCTTAAAATATAGTCTAAAAAAGTTCGATGCTAACTGGTT